ATTAGTGTCCAGAAGAAATGTACTTTAGATCCTTTAAAATCACCCAGTTTTCTCTTCTAAAAGCGCCCTTTTAGATCCAATAGCAGGAAAATATATTTTTGGTTCTTACCTGATCTAAAGATGAAGTTGCAATAAGCCAGGATTGGATTAACCGTAGTTTAAGCCACAATAGAACACATTCACACATTGTACTAAACTACATACCATAATTTGCAAATCTTAATAGGTTGAACTAGCTTTCCTAAATGGGCCCTCTCTTTGTGATGACCTACATCAGCAACCAAACGAAGACTATGACATTGTTGAGAATCACAGATAGGATCTTGGACAGGGAATACAGCTGACTTTTTCATTCTGTTTTCAGCCAGTTATCTAGCTATATTTTTCTTCAGTACAGTTATAATCCGATGTTATTCAAGCTTAGCAAAGTTAAGATGTGTGGACTTCAGCTCCCAGAATTCTCCAGCAGGAAAGGAATGCTGGGAGTTGCAGTCCGCACCTCTTAAAGTCGACAAGCTTGAGAAACATTAATCCATACACTGTATGTTCTACCATCTGATATCTTACAAGGTGCACAATATTCTGGTAGGGAAAAAAAACAATGACATATCTTTTAGAATAAATAAAGAATAACGTTTATTCCTACACAAACTCTGTGGAACACAGTACATTCACTTGATGAAGTAGACTGGGATCCATAACAGCTTAACAAAAACATCATTCTTAAAGTGATATGGGAAGCATCTTATGATCACTGACCATGTTCAATCCCCACCATATGGTCTTAGAGAGATTTTCACAGCAGACTGTGGGTGGCCTTGGGAAAAAAAAAAACTAAGCAGGATAAGATTTTATTCACAAACTAGCTGTACCCGGCCATGCGTTGCTGTGGCTCAGTCTGGTTAAATGGAAAAGAAAGAAAAGAGAAAGCGCACGTTTGTGTTGCTTTTACGTCCAACAGATGGTGCTGTTTTTCAAAAAAAGCATGTTTTTACCTGTCACAGGTGTGACATCTATATAATAGTAGGTATATAAAAACACGCGTGTATTCGAATGCAATGTTGTGTCAAACTTTCAAAGCAATCGGTGAAGAACTTTCGGAGATTTAAGATTTTGAACAAACGAACTTTTACATTTTTATTGATATAGATGAAAAGGAGACCAGGAAGAAGTCTCAAAGCCATAGAGGAGACTGGAAAGTCAGGAAAATAATTTTAAAAAACTAAGTTTTTATTGATTTTTATTTTTATTTTGTTGCTGGAGTTGGCATTGCTTTTATTCTTTTGTAGGGATCCATATTTGTTGTTACAATATGGCTGACTAAGTCTTTTCAATTAAATAAATACCGTAAATCATGGGTGTCAAACTCGATTGCGTCATGTGACGTATTCGTTCACGGAAGGAGCGGTTCACTTAAGAACTGAAGTGGTTTGCTAAACAACCTTGGCCGAAAAGGTCAAAAAATTGGGCAAAACTCACATAAAAACCCTCTTGCTTAGCCACAAAAATTGTGATCCCAATTGTGGTTGTTTCCTGTCTGGACTACCTCTAAGGGCTATACATCAGTGATGGCAAACCTTTTAGAGACCCAAACTGCAACCCAAAACCCACTTATGCATCGTTGAGTGCCGGGTGGGTGTGGCCCATTGGCTGGGCGTGGCTGCGGTAGTAATGGCAGACTGGTTGGGACTAAAAAGTTCAATCAATCAATTCCAACTTTGCAAGAACTTTTTTTTCCCGCGAGAAGTTGAAATTGACTGATTGAACCCTTTTTTTTTTTCACATGGCGGCGGAGGCCTAAAGCGAAAAGGTTTTATAAAACCCAGCTGAAGGCCTAGGACTGGGGTGACGGCGTGCGTGTCCACAGAGAGGGCTCTGAGTGCCGCCTCTGGCACCCGTGCCGTAGGTTCACCACCACTGGACTAACCACTCAACTGCCCAATATTGTAGAAAACTCTTTTATATTTCTGTCACAATAGCAGTAGCACTTGGACTTATATATCACTCTCTAAGTGGTTTACAGAGTTAGTATCTTCTCCCCAACAATCTGGGGTCCTCATTTGGAAGGATGGACTGAGTCAACCTTGAGCCACTGAGGATCGAACCCCTGGCAGTCAGCAGAATTAGCCTGCAATGCTGCATTCTAACCACTGCACCCTCACAGCTCCTTATCCAATCAGCACCACAACTGAGCACTAGGAGATTTATTCCCACATAAGCTTAGGGAGCATTTTAATCCCTTGTTAACCACAGTTGTTCTCAATTAGTGGTACCCATGATCTGTAGGCAGATGCAACACTCATCCAAAATTGGAGAACAGCCAGAAGGTGTCCCAAAAGGAGGTTCAACTGCTCTCCAGTTGAGTGCACCGAAATTGTATTAAGATAAGCCACTTTGGTGTCGTGGTTAAGGCACCAGACTAGAAGCCAGGAGAGTGTGAGTTCTAATCCTGCCTGAGGCATGAAAAGCAGCTGGCTGACTTTGGGCCAGTCGGTCTGTCTCAGCCCAATTCATCTCACATCGTAGTTGCTGTGGGGAGAATAGGAGGTGGAAGGAATATTAGTTTATGTTCACCGCCTTGAGTTACTTATAAAAATAAAGGGTGGGATAAAAATGAGTAAATGAAGACATCTCCTGGTGTTTATACCAGGAACAGCCTTTGAAAGCTTTGGACTTTAGATCCAGAGCAAAACAGTAAACTACAGGTAATTCTTGTCTTACAACTTGACTTATGTCAGTTTTTCATGTTTACGACCGTTGCAGCATTCCCACGGTCACGTGATCAAAATTCAGACGCTTGGCAACTGGCTCATATTTAAGACGGTCACAGTATCCCGGAGTCATGTGATCACCTTTTGCGACCTTCTGACAAGCAAAGTCAATGGAGAAGCCGGATTTACTTAACACCCGTGTTGCTAATTTAACAACCATGGTGATTCAGTTAACAACTGTGGCAAGAAAAGGTGCAAAATGGGGGGAAACTCAACAACACTCTTGCTTAACAACAAATGTTGGGCTCAATTGTGGTTATAAGTGGAGGATTACCCATAATGCAAAGTGTTAACCTAGCTGATTTTGTTTGGGATGCATTTTGAGTTTAGGGGAAGATTGTTCCTAACAGTGCCTCAGCTCCAGTCGGTTCCCACTCCTTATTTTACAGTTAGTGCAACAAAAACTGTCAGTAGTGTTATTACAACAACAACAAAAAGTTCTTTCCGCTTAGTGTAACCAAGAAAGGCAATACTGTAACAAACAGAATGCCTGTAAGCAGTTATTTCTGAAAGAGTGGGTGTTTTTTTTCCATCTTGGCTCAGATGCTTTGATCAATAGATGGGTGGAACTCAAAATACCGCATGGAAATTTGAGAAGCAGCAGTCCAGGTAACAAGAGGAGGTTTTCAGAATTTGGGATCTTGGCCAAACAAGACAGCAGCAGCAGCAGCTCTCTGCATTTCCTACTTTTCAAAAGTTCAGAAGCATTTTCGAAAGGCGAGACGGAAACTGCCAAGTCCCAGGCCTTCAGTTTGAAAGGGAAAACTGAGCTCTTAATTAAAGGTACCGGCACTCTTTGTCTTTTCCTTGCTCATTATCAATAAGCCAAAGTCTTTTGAGATTCTCAACCATCCAGATCTTGGTTGTCTCAGAGGTGCTTTTCCAAAGGGCAACTGGATTTTCCTAGTTCTTTCTTTCTCTTTCTTTCTTTCTTTCTTTCTTTCTTTCTTCCTTTTTCTTTCTTTCTTTCTTTCTTTCCTTCCTTCCTTCCTTCTTTCTTTCTTCCTTCTTTCCTTCCTCTTTCTTTCTTTCTTTCTTCCTTCCTTCCTTCCTTCTTTCCTTCCTTTTTCTTTCTTTCTTTCTTTCCTTCCTTCCTTCTTTTTTTCTCTTTCTTTCTTTCTTTTTCTTTCTTTCTTTCTTCCTTCCTTCTTTCTTTCTTTCTTTCTTTCTTTCTTCCTTTTTTCCTTCCTTCCTTCCATTTTCTTTCTTTCTTTCTTTCTTTCTTTCTTTCTTTCTTTCTTTCTTTCTTTCTTTCTTTCTTTCTTTCTTTCTTTTTACTTCCAAGAAGAGCTTCTTCAGTTCTTCTTGGATGAGAAGGGAAACGTTTTTAAAGGAAAAAAAAATAAATGAAGAAAGTCCACTTGCCTTTTGGAAAAGCACCTCTGGGACATTAAGCAAAATGTTAACTACAGTGGGAGCCAAAATCATCTCCAGATGATAACGGGGCTTTTTTTTGTTTTTAACCTTCCACCACTACCACCCCCCCAAAAATCGGAAATCAGCTCAAGTCTGACCTTGACCTCTCTCGCGACCTGTTGCTTCCTCAGAAAGTCCAGATCCAGTGGAAGCGCCGAAAGAGGAGAAAGCCGCAGCCCCGCGCTCGCCTTTCCTTTCCCAGGCACGCAGCGCAGAAGGCGAGCCAGCGCAGCGCAGCGCAGCGCCCAGCGCAAGTTCCCTTTCGGTTTTCAACCCGCCTCGCCATCCCCGCCCTGCTCGGGGTTCGCCCGCGCCTCGCCCCCAGGCGGAGAGCGGGGTCGTGGGAACGCGAGCGCCTCCCCTTCCCGCGGGTCAAGCGCGGCCGCGCACTCCGATCCCCGCGCGCGCAAAGGCCGGCGCAAAGGCGCGCGCTCCAAATCTCCGCCCCCCTTTTTTTCCTTCCCGGGCCCCGCCCCTTTCCTCCTCTTCTTCCCCCCCCCTTCGGGCGAGCTGCTCTCTCTCTCTCCCCCCCCCCAACTCCCTTTCCCACCCTCCCTCCCCCGCCTCGGCCGGTGACGTCATATTCGCTTCTGCCGGCGCCATTTTGAAGAGAGGAGGGGGGCTGGCTAAGGAGGAGGAGGAGGAGGAAGCGGAGAGCGGGGAAGCCCTGGAAGCCAAGCCGGCCTTGCCCTACCCCCCCTCCCTCCCCGGCGGGCGCGATCCGCTGCCATCCTCCCTCCGCGTTCTCTCCCAGACCGGCCCGGCCAGAGGATTGAGAAGCTGAGAGGCCGCTTCCTCCCGACCGCCAACCATTGGGCGCCCAGCATGGCAGGTAAAGGGGCCAGGGAGCCGCGCTCTGCCCGGGGACGGGCGCCGGGCGGGGCAAGCGCCGGGCTGCGCTGCTTTGCTCTTGCAGAGCCCCAACGCCGGCCCTGCGCGGAGCGGACTCGGCCGCTTCCTTTGGGCTCCCCCCCTTGGGTTGCTTGCTTGCTCGCTCGCGGAAAGCCCCGGTCCGCTTTTTATTCCCCCTGCCCCGGAGAGTCTCCTGCAATCCCGGCTCCCCTCTCCCCGTCCGCCCCGATCCCCTGGATGGGTTGCCTGGATGGCTCCGGTGCAGGTTCGGGCAGGTGGCCCCCTTCTCGCCTCTGCCCGTCAAGCGCCCGCTCTCCTTGGCCAGGGGGAGGCAGAAGTTGGAGCGTGCGGTTTGTGTGTGACTGTGTGTGTGTTTGTGTGTGTGTGTGTGTGTGTCGTGGGGGTGGGTGGGGGAAGAAGAGACCTTTCCCTCCCCTCCCCTGCAGATAAGCCTCGGAAGGGTTCCCCCCACCCCACCCCACACCCCACCCCGGCTCGGCTGGCGAGGATGGCTTTGCGCGGCCCGCGTTTGGGAAAGGAGGGCAGAGGGCGCGTCGGGGAAAGGCAGGGCAGGGCAGGGCAGGGAAAAAGGGAGGAGGGCGGCGGTGGGCTCGTTTGCAAGCCGGCGTGCTCCTCCGAGGCAGGCGGTGTCGTGGGAAGAGACGTGCACGCGTCTTCGTGCCAGACCGAGGGAAACCAAGGGTGGGGTGGGGTGGGGTGGGGGGAGGTTGCTGTCAGCCTGAGCAGCCCCCCCACGTGAATAGTTACAGGAAGCCTCCATCTCTTCCTGCTTGTTTGAGGGAGGAGGGGGCTCCCCCACCTTACTAGTGCTTGGGGGTGGCTTGGAAAATGCGTTTGGGAGGCCTGGAGCACCAGCTTTTTTCTCTTGCTTTCTCCGCTCCATTTTTTCCCCCTTTTTTTCCTTTCTTTCCCCCCACTCCTGGAATTTGTTTCACCCACACCCAGTGGCTTTAATTGCTCTAGGTTTGGAAATAGAGCACAAGAGGCCGGGTTTCGAACTGCTTTTGCAGCCCTGATGTGCTGGGAAACACCATCCACCCCCCATCAATCATCCCTGGTTTTTCTTTCCTTTTCTTCTTCTTTTTCATCAAGGGAAGCAGAGCTCTGAATATGTAGGGGGTTACAGCTGGATGAGGGCAGCCCGCTTTTTTTTTAATTTGGGAATGAGATGTACTTTTTCCTTTTACATTTATTTTTATGGAAGGCCTCGGGTTTTCCAGGCAAAGCTCAGCTCTGGGCCTGGACTTGGCCTCCTTCGAGATGCATGTGGGATTACTTGTATATGCAGGATGGGTTTATTCCTATCTCTAAACATCCTTTCCCATTTCCTGATATGGTCAAATGATCCAGGACATTGTAACAGAAGGGAGATTAAAATAGAATACTTTTGTTTCCACTTTTCCTGTGTTCTCCTGCTGTTCTTGAGCCAGGAAAGGAATACATAGTTGCTTCAAACTTTGTTCTCTGGGTAGAGCAAAGTCTTAGCAGGAAAAGGGGGGGGGGGGGAGAGAGAGAGAGAGAGAAAAAAAAGCCTTGCACTGTTTTTTTGCATTTAGTTTGGAGGGGGGGGGTGCGTGAAAAAAGAAAGCACTCCATTTTGACAGCCCTTTTTTCAGGAACTACTAGAAGCCACCAGTTCGTAATTCTTCGCCGTCTTTTCCTGTATGAACCCAGCCCCAAATGACTGACTTCAAATGACATGAAGAAGAAATGGGTGGTGTCTGGTGTGTGTTTTGTACATGCCTTGGCGGCAAGGTTCAAGTGATTCATTGTCCTCGCCTAGGCAGAAATGTTCCTGAAATTTTCTCTTCGATCCGTCTTTTACGGTAGTTTGAAACTTACTTGTAACTTTAAAGCAGCCAGGCTAAGCCTGCCTCTTCAGCTTTTGAGGTTGTAGCTTCTGCTTTGTTTTTTTTTTTTTTTTTTTTTTTTTTTTTTTTTTTTTTTTTTTTTTTTTTTTTGAAAACATGTTTTATTTCTTTATTATGCATATAGGAAAGGTTCTTGGCACAGGTTTCTGTTGTTTTTTTTTCTTTAGGCAGTGAAGTTTGCTGCTCCGGCTGCTGCTACTAATGAGAATGTTGATTTATTGTTCTTAAATACGGTGTGGGGGAAAAAAACACGTAGCCAGGTTAGGAGGCGGGAGCGGATTTAATGTACAAAATGAATTTTGTTTGTTAAGGCAAGGAAGCACTGCATTTTTTTTCAGGGAATTCTAGAAGACATCTGAGGGAAGTTTTTGCAACTGTGGTGCGATTTTTGGAATGTATTCAGGAATGTAGTTTTGGGAATTGCTAAGAATTAGCTGAGAAATTGCAGTGATTCTGGGCCGGATGGATAGATTTGCTCTGGGCTAATTCGAACCCAGTGCTTTAGGCGGCAGGTGGAGCAAGAGAATTGTTTGCGACGACGAGGTTATCTGTGGGCTTCAATCTGTGCTGAGAATATTCTTGTGGGTGTGTAGAGTTTGCCCTTTGCAGCGTCATTCGCTGCACTGCTTACGAGAGAGGAATGATAACACAGGGCAGCCAAATTTCCTACGACGAGTGTGGAATTACTACGTTGATTTAACTTCTGTTCTGTTTCTAGGAGCTGGCGGTGGCGGGAATGACATTCAGTGGTGCTTTTCTCAGGTGAAAGGCGCTGTGGACGATGATGTAGCGGAAGGTAAGAACAAGTTCTGAGCCCATTACCATTGCTAATGAAAGCACAGTGGAAATGCCACATTCCTGTGATAGTTAAACCTTTTCCTCATGTTGGGCATAAGAGAGAATATCCTGGAAGTTTACCGAAGTGTCTTGAATCACGCTTAATGGTTGTTGGGGCACTCGCCTTCTTTCGGCTAGGTATTTAAATGGTTGGAATCTGGGTAGTTTTTGAAGGGATGCTAAACATTTTTCCTATGACTCTTTCCTCTGTGTTAGAACGTGCATGCTTTGAAAATAATTTGGAAGACGAGCTTTGATTCGCACACGGCATAGCACCTCTTGTCTATTAATGAAAGCAGCCCAACTTTTTAAGGGATTGAGTTGAGTCTGGAAAAGATGTGGCTGCTTTAAGAATTGTATTAATTTTAATAAATTAGGGGCAACACTCTTTAGGTATGTGCATAAACATGGGGAAAAAACCCAAGATATAAGTATTTTGATGAATGGCAGATGGATATTCTGGTCAACGCAGTGTGTTGCACGTGTTTGTGGGTGCATACCTGCAGGCATTATAATACACGTTGCATGCAATGTGTAAAATGACCTTTCATTCCTTGAGTTATTGCATTTTAAAGAAATCACCTGTGGCGGTTAAACCAGGACAATTAACCATGCATTGTGCTCTTCTGAACAGATGCCACCATTAGCGTGAGCGCGTTGTGTTAATAAGCCCTGCGTTCTTGCTATAGAGAAATGTATCATGAAAGTGCAGAATGCTCTCTAGGTTTTTTTTAAAAAAATGATATATTTCTGGAAGCATTGGCAGAGTTGGAGCCTGCGTAGTATGGGTCAAGAGATCAGGCAGAAACAGGAACAGTTTCTGGAAAATAGCTGTGTAATCTAATCTTGGATCTTCTAAGAAGGAAAAGTCAACTATTTCAGTTGGAGTCCAAAGACTTGGCTTTCCTTTTTCTTGAGGATGGCTAATACTCAGATGATAAAAGGGCCTGTCTTGTGCGCAGATGGATCTCTAGATTTTGTTTCTGGAAGCAAACCTCTGGGAACTTCATCCTGCGACTTTCAAAGAGCTACTGTGGTCTGACTAAAGGTATCCGAGGACTAGAATAGGAAGCGTGCTTTCTTAGCAATGCATGTGCTACCTAAACCTTTGCTGGAATCACATGTTCTGCTTGGCTGTACAGGTGTTCCTTGACTTAACGACCACAACAGAGCCCAAAATTTATGTTGTTAAGTGAGTTTTGCCCCATTTTACGACCTTTCTTGCCACCGTTGTTAACTGAATCACCATGGTGGTTAAATTGGTAACACGGTTGTTAAGTACATCCGGCTTCTCCATTGACTTTGCTTGTCAGAAGATTGCAAAAGGGGATCACATGACCCCGGGACACTGCAACCGCCTTAAATATGAATCACTGAATTTTGATCACGTGATCCTGGGGATGCTACAAAGGTTGTAAGGGTGAAAAATGGTCATAAGACACTTTTTTTTTCGGTGCCGTTGTAACTTGGAACAGACACTAAAGGAACGGTTGTGAGTTGTGGGCTACCTGTAATAAGACCGTTTTATTGGAGAAATACGGACCCAGTTATTGTGTATTAATTGTTGACAATGCAGATCTGTAACTCTCTAGAGCAGTGTTTCTCAACCTTGACAATTTTAAGGCATGTGGACTTCAACTCCCAGAATTCCACAGCCAGCATTGCTGGCTGTGGAATTCTGGGAGTTGAAGTCCACATGCCTTAAAATTGTCAAGGTTGAGAAACACTGCTCTAGAGCAAGACGCACAAAACAGGGAAAACTTGGTTCAGAACAAACCTTCATATTCTTCTCGTGCTGTTAGACTGTTTTAGGTTAGCAGGAAAAAAAATCTGCACTGTCAAATGGGACAACCTGGTTTGTATCTCCCCTTCTGTTCCCTCCCCGTAATGGCTGATGCTGGACTGTCTGCTTCCTTTCTCTCCATCTTCTGTCCTTCAATTACTGATACCTTTGGCCCTTTCCCCTATTCCCTCCCCATAATCCTTCCTGCCTCGTTCAGAACAGCCCAGTTTTGTTCTGTTTATAAATCTAAGCAAACCGTTTTATGCACACAATGTTTTGCGCCTCCCTGTTGTCCCTAGCCAGTACAATCTATGGTGGATACCGTGCTTAAGGAGAGCTGAGTGTATTGCTTGCTAAATATGCATCAGTAAAGTCCAGTGACCATCGCTGTATGAATTACTGCGCTATTGATCCATTGCAGCTGGTGCAAAAGGAACGCCCATTGCTATGAATGCTTTCTGTATGGAGAACAAGAGCAAGCTGGAAGGATCTGGAGTTTTTTTTTTCCCCTCTAGTACCATTTCCCGGGAATTGTGCTGGGGACAAAATAGTCAAAATCTGAAACTTAAAAGAAGATAATTTCATATCCTCCTAGTTAAAAGCAGGTGCTTTTTTAGGGTGAAAATTGGTGTAGATGGTTCTTGGCATAGCCTCCTAAAAATTTATTCTTAGTATGGATGAAAGGAGAGCTATAAGTATATTGAAATTTACAAAAAATGCATACATATAGATAGTCCTCGATTTACAATCGCAATTGGGACACTGCTAAGCAACACAGTTACAGTAGGTGAGTCAGGCCTGATTTTATGACCAATTTGGCCATGGTTGTTAAGCAAATCACTGCAGTTGTTAAATGAATCGGGTGGTCATTAAGCAAATGTGGTTTCCCCATTGACTTTGCTAGTCGGAAGTGGCTGGGAAGGTCATACATGGCGATCACATGACCTTGGGATGCTGCAGTCATTGTACATACATGCCATTTGGCAAGCACCGAAATTTTGACCACGTAACCATGGGGATGCTGTGACAGTTGTAAATGCGAGAACCAGTTATAAGTCACTTTTTTTTTCAGTGCTGTTGTAATGTTGGACAGTTGCTTAACAGATGGCTGTGAAGTCGAGAATTACTTGTATCGAGAATATTCATAACCAAGCACAGTCCTTATCTACATGATGCTAGAAAAGGTTTGAGAGAATTTTAGCTAAGGACTTTTGGTTTTTCTAAACTGGGAAGACAACTTAATTGACAGGATGATAGGGACTGGATTCATACATTGCATTAAAACAGGGGTCTTCAAACTTGGCCCTTTTATGACTTGTGGACTTCAACTCCCAGAATTCCTCAGCCAGGCACGCGTGCCTGGCTGAGGAATTCTGGGAGTTGAAGTCCACAAGTCATAAAAGGGCCAAGTTTGAAGACCCTTGCATTAAAAAATAGTTTGCATGTCTGTGGTTGAACGATCAGTAGTTGGCTGCTCCTGAAACATGAACCTATAAATCAAGGCTTATGAACATTAGTGACTAACTTCATCTAGTGTTCTCCGTTGAAATGAAGCAAACCACGCTATGGCTTATTGAAACGTGTGATACTTGTTGCAACGTGCAAATAAATGTTGTAAGAATAAGGATCCTGTGACCCATCAGTTATTGAATTGGAACTTTTAGCCTCTCACAATTCCTTATATTGACAGATTGCTTGGAATTATAGTTCAGACTATAGTTCTCTTCTACAACTGTTGATGTTACCTAGTTTGGTAATGCAATGTCTGCGAGAAAACAGCCATGCTCAGAGAGCACCAAGGACCCCACAATTCAGTCACTTTCTGTAGACTACACTTATTTCCCTGAAATTTAGCATCTTTTGTTTCAAGAAAGATTTCCCCACTCAAGTCTATTTCTGAGGTTTTTTTTCCTCATCTAAAATTGCATTCTGCTTTTATCAATAAAAATGGCTGACTGAAATGAACAGGTTTTCTGTTCTGTATGTTTTCTGTATTTTTAAAAGAAAAACTGATCCTTAATACGTAGTTCATTTTGCACATTTTACAGGCAATATTAATTATCGACCATCCCAAGATTGCCTGACAAGCAGGTAGCTTGGTAGTAAACATGGTAAGAGTGAAAAGAATTGAACTGAAGTTAATCGACAAAAGATATCAGAGAAGCGGTTTGAATCTGAAATGACTGGTTTTTGTTATTCGAGTTGTGATGCAAAAAGCAGTTAATCGTAGAGAAATTGGGACTATCTTGAATTTGTGATTTCAAACCAATGGAAATAACTTCTCTTTCAGAGATCATTTTATTTATTTAATGCGCTGGTGTCAGTTGTTGGGGGAAACTATGTAGACTTGAAATGCAACAGTTACATGAAATAAATAAACAGTTATATGGCATGAATTCCTGAGGCTGATATTCATCTATTTTGCCCTTAACATTTTCAAGTATTTTGAAGCCCTGAAAGAATTTGAGGTAGATATACCTTATTTGAAGAGGCATATATAGGCAAGTCCTCGCCTTACGGCCACAATCGGAACCAGAACTTACATTGCTAAGCAAGGCAGTTGTTGAGGGAGCCGCACTCAATTTTACAACCTTTTTTGACGCGGTTGTTAAGCAAATCAGTGCAGTTGTTAAGTGAAACCTGTGATTAAATGAATCCAGCTTCCCCCATTGACTCTGCTTGTTGGAAACTGCTTGCAAATAGCCATTGCGTAACCCCAGGATGCTGTGACGGTTGTAGTTACAGTAGTGGCCAAAATTGTGGAAACCTTTTGGGAAAAGTGTATTTTTGAGGTTTGATGGTTAATAACACCACTTTTTTTTTTGGAGCAGTACCATAAAATTATATATCAATGGAAAGATAATTTAATCAAGAATGTAATGCAACAAAGTTTGTTCAATTATCTGTACTGTATTCTATGAAAAGTTATAGCCAAATAACCAGAAAAAGGAAGCACAACTTGCTTAAGTTGATATCAGGTAGCTTTCCTTCATCCGATTGTAGCCATTGAGCATGAGTGTTTAGAGAGCCAATCAGGTGTCATCTTGTTTTGGCAACGAGCCAATCAGATCACAGTAGGATTCAGTTATTGATGTCATGTATTGAAGCCAAGAGGAGGACATTTGTCAGTGTGTTATGTGATCGCTATCGTGTTGGTTGGGTTTTTTTATGTTCTT